CACCCACACCACCACTTACCCCAGCACCCACACCACCACTTACCCCAGCACCCACACCACCACTTACCCCAGCACCCACACCACCACTTACCCCAGCACCCACACCACAACTTACCCCAGCACCCACACCACCACTTACCCCAGCACCCACACCACCACTTACCCAAGCACCCACCACCACTTACCCCAGCACCCACACCACCACTTACCCCAGCACCCACACCACCACTTACCCCAGCACCCACACCACCACTTACCCCAGCACCCACACCACCACTTACCCAAGCACCCACACCACCACTTACCCAGCACCCACACCACCACTTACCCAGCACCCACACCACAACTTACCCCAGCAGCCACACCACCACTTACCCCAGCACCCACACCACCACTTACCCCAGCACCACACCACCACTTACCCCAGCACCCACACCATCACTTACCCCAGCACCCACACCACCACTTACCCCAGCACCCACACCACCACTTACCCCAGCACCCACACCACCACTTACCCAGCACCCACACCACCACTTACCCCAGCACCCACACCACCACATACCCCAGCACCCACACCACCACTTACCCCAGCACCCACACCACCACTTACCCCAGCACCCACACCACACTTACCCCAGCACCCACACCACAACTTACCCTAGCACCCACACCACCACTTACCCCAGCACCCACACCACCACTTACCCCAGCACCCACACCACCACTTCCCCCAGCACCCACACCACAACTTAACCCAGCACCCACACCACCACTTACCCCAGCACCCACACCACAACTTACCCCAGCACCCACACCACCACTTACCCCAGCACCCACACCACAACTTACCCCAGCACCCACACCACCACATACCCCAGCACCCACACCACAACTTACCCCAGCACCCACACCACCACTTACCCCAGCACCCACACCACAACTTACCCCAGCACCCACACCACAACTTACCCCAGCACCCACACCAACTTACCCCAGCACCCACACCACCACTTACCCCAGCACCCACACACACAACTTACCCCAGCACCCACACCACCACTTACCCCAGCACCCACACCACCACTTACCCCAGCACCCACACCACAACTTACCCCAGCACCCACACCACAACTTACCCCAGCACCCACACCACAACTTACCCCCAGCACCCACACCACCACTTACCCCAGCACCCACACCACCACTTACCCCAGCACCCACACCACAACTTACCAAAGCACCCACACCACAACTTACCCCAGCACCCACACCACCACTTACCCCAGCACCCACACCACCACTTACCCCAGCACCCACACCACAACTTACCCCAGCACCCACACCACCACTTACCCCAGCACCCACACCACCACTTACCCCAGCACCCACACCACAACTTATCCCAGCACCCACACCACCACTTTACCCCAGCACCCACACCACAACTTACCCAGCACCCACACCACAACTTACCCTAGCACCCACACCACCACTTACCCCAGCACCCACACCACCACTTACCCCAGCACCCACACCACCACTTCCCCCAGCACCCACACCACAACTTAACCCAGCACCCACACCACCACTTACCCCAGCACCCACACCACAACTTACCCCAGCACCCACACCACCACTTACCCCAGCACCCACACCACAACTTACCCCAGCACCACACCACCACATACCCCAGCACCCACACCACAACTTACCCCAGCACCCACACCACCACTTACCCCAGCACCCACACCACAACTTACCCCAGCACCCACACCACAACTTACCCCAGCACCCACACCACAACTTACCCCAGCACCCACACCACCACTTACCCCAGCACCACACCACCACTTACCCCAGCACCCACACCACCACTTACCCCAGCACCCACACCACCACTTACCCAGCACCCACACCACAACTTACCCCAGCACCCACACCACAACTTACCCCAGCACCCACACCACAACTTACCCCAGCACCCACACCACCACTTACCCCAGCACCCACACCTCCACTTACCCCAGCACCCACACCACAACTTACCAAAGCACCCACACCACAACTTACCCCAGCACCCACACCACCACTTACCCCAGCACCCACACCACCACTTACCCCAGCACCCACACCACAACTTACCCCAGCACCCACACCACATTACCCAGCACCCACACCACCACTTACCCCAGCACCCACACCACAACTTATCCCAGCACCCACACCACAACTTATCCCAGCACCCACACCACAACTTACCCCAGCACCCACACCACAACTTACCCCAGCACCCACACCACACTTACCCCAGCACCCACACCACAACTTACCCCAGCACCCACACCACAACTTACCCCAGCACCCACACCACAACTTACCCCAGCACCCACACCACAACTTACCCCAGCACCCACACCACCACTTACCCAGCACCCACACCACCACTTACCCCAGCACCCACACCACCACTTACCCCAGCACCCACACCACCACTTACCCAGCACCCACACCACCACTTACCCCAGCACCCACACCACCACTTACCCAGCACCCACACCACCACTTACCCCAGCACCCACACCACCACTTACCCCAGCACCCACACCACCACTTACCCCAGCACCCACACCACCACTTACCCCAGCACCCACACCACCACTTACCCCAGCACCCACACCACCACTTACCCAGCACCCACACCACCACTTACCCCAGCACCCACACCACCACTTACCCCAGCACCCACACCACACTTACCCCAGCACCCACACCACCACTTACCCCAGCACCCACACCACAACTTACCCCAGCACCCACACCACCACTTACCCCAGCACCCACACCACAACTTACCCCAGCACCCACACCACAACTTACCCCAGCACCCACACCACAACTTACCCCAGCACCCACACCACCACTTACCCCAGCACCCACACCACCACTTACCCCAGCACCCACACCACCACTTACCCCAGCACCCACACCACCACTTACCCCAGCACCCACACCACCACTTACCCCAGCACCCACACCACAGCTTACCCCAGCACCCACACCACCACATACCCCAGCACCCACACCATCACTTACCCCAGCACCCACACCATCACTTACCCAGCACCCACACCATCACTTACCCCAGCACCCACACCACCACTTACCCCAGCACCCACACCACCACTTACCCGAGCACCCACACCACCACTTACCCAGCACCCACACCACCACTTACCCCAGCACCCACACCACCACTTACCCCAGCACCCACACCACCACTTACCCCAGCACCCACACCACCACTTACCCCAGCACCCACACCACCACTTACCCCAGCACCCACACCACAACTTACCCCAGCACACCACACCACCACTTACCCCAGCACCCACACCACCACTTACCCCAGCACCCACACCACAACTTACCCAGCACCCACACCACAACTTACCCCAGCACCCACACCACAACTTACCCCAGCACCCACACCACAACTTACCCCAGCACCCACACCACAACTTACCCCAGCACCCACACCACCACTTACCCCAGCACCACACCACCACTTACCCCAGCACCCACACCACAACTTACCCCAACACCCACACCACCACTTACCCCAGCACCCACACCACCACTTACCCCAGCACCCACACCACAACTTACCCCAACACCCACACCACCACTTACCCCGCACCCACACCACCACTTACCCCAGCACCCACACCACAACTTACCCCAGCACCCACACCACCACTTACCCCAGCACCCACACCACAACTTACCCCAGCACCCACACCACCACTTACCCCAGCACCCACACCACCACTTACCCCAGCACCCACACCACCACTTACCCCAGCACCCACACCACCACTTACCCCAGCACCCACACACACCACTTACCCAGCACCCACACCACAACTTACCCCAGCACCCACACCACCACTTACCCCAGCACCCACACCACAACTTACCCCAGCACCCACACCACAACTTACCCCAGCACCCACACCACAAACTTACCCCAGCACCCACACCACCACTTACCCCAGCACCCACACCACCACTTACCCAGCACCCACACCACCACTTACCCCAGCACCCACACACACCACTTACCCCAGCACCCACACCACCACTTACCCCAGCACCCACACCACAGCTTACCCCAGCACCCACACCACCACATACCCCAGCACCCACACATCACTTACCCCAGCACCCACACCATCACTTACCCCAGCACCCACACCATCACTTACCCCAGCACCCACACCACCACTTACCCAGCACCCCACCACCACTTACCCGAGCACCCACACACCACTTACCCCAGCACCCACACCACCACTTACCCCAGCACCCACACCACCACTTACCCAGCACCCACACCACCACTTACCCCGCACCCACACCACCACTTACCCCAGCACCCACACCACCACTTACCCCAGCACCCACACCACAACTTACCCCAGCACCCACACCACCACTTACCCCAGCACCCACACCACCACTTACCCCAGCACCCACACCACCACTTACCCCAGCACCCACACCACCACTTACCCCAGCACCCACACCACAACTTACCCCAGCACCCACCCACAACTTACCCCAGCACCCACACCACAACTTACCCCAGCACCCACACCACCACTTACCCCAGCACCCACACCACCACTTACCCCAGCACCCACACCACAACTTACCCCAACACCCACACCACCACTTACCCCAGCACCCACACCACCACTTACCCCAGCACCCACACCACAACTTACCCCAACACCCACACCACCACTTACCCCAGCACCCACACCACAACTTACCCCAGCACCCACACCACAACTTACCCCAGCACCCACACCACCACTTACCCCAGCACCCACACCACCACTTACCCCAGCACCCACACCACAACTTACCCCAACACCCACACCACCACTTACCCCAGCACCCACACCACAACTTACCCCAGCACCAATACCCACCTGCAGGTGTGTAGGCATTAAAGGCATGAATGAACTCTGGGTCGCTATCATCCTTCTGCAATGACTTCTCTTGGTAGGCACTGGTGAAGATGACTTGGCCTTGTTCATCTTCAAGAGTGATCTGAACAAAAAGTATAGGATGTAGAACACAAATTTTTAAATATTTTATTGTATTAAGTGTACCCCTTGTTAGGATCAACTATTACTTAATTACATTTAATGGCAAGTAAAAATAAAAAAAAAGTAGGATAAAAGAAAACCCAATTAAAATTGAACCAACAGTAATGAAGTAGTATATGGATGAATAAAAAAATGAATTACCATACAATTTTCTTCTGTCTTATTAGTTGGAAACCATTATCTGACTATATTAATTTTAATTTAGAGGTTTGACATCTTGAACCTGCATCCTTCAGTTGTGAATTACCAGCCACTCAAAAACTACATCAAGAAATAACACTAATTATTATTATATCATTGCTAAAACAGTGGGTGCCATGGATCATCTACGTAATTATACATATACATACATGTATTTCAATAAATCATATATTAAAATCAAATTGGGTACCACCTTAATTATCCTGGCAGTCACAAGCTCTCCCACCATACATAATTTATCAAATGCCATATTTTACAACTGAGAAACTGATGAAATATATAAAAAACGAATCTAGACAGATATAAATGAGGATCTCATATGGTATCCAAGCACAACTAGTGAGATGACAAAGGTCATGGTGAAGATACCTTTGCTCTATCTAAACATCCTTGAACTTAGTATATTATACTAGTTGTACTTGCCTTTGGGAACCAAATATCCTTGGTAGTCACATTAATATTTTATTTTATCTTATTTTATTCCATTATCCTTGTAGGTTAAGCTCTTCTTTTTTATTATAATAATTTACTCCATTATTATTATTTATTATTAAAGAAAAGCACTAAACTTGAAGGAATATAAAGAACCAGGGAGAATAAAATGTAATTATGTTCAATCCAAGGGAAAACAGGTCCAATTCCTTGGATCAAGAGCCTCCCTATCGCACTCCCTTTGTGTGTGTGTGTGTGTGTGTGTGAGCAAGCTTTTGGAGCAGGAGAGTGGCTCTAGTAGCGACCAGCGAATAGACAGGGCCAGGAGCTGTGACTCGACCCTGCAACCTTATATGAGTGAGTAGTACACCTCAGCAGCCACATTACTACCTACCTGGGATCATATTCACTGAAATGAATGCATCTTAACTCATTTGTTTTCCCCATGAAGATTATTATTATTATTATTATTATTATTATTATTATTATTATTATTATTATTATTATTATTATTATTATTAATGATTCACTTGCAAATGCTAAACGAGACGGAAGATATGATGGTGAAGGGGGGGGGGGTTGGGTAATTTCGTACGAGATACTTTTTTTTTTTTTTTTTAAGACTTAGCGTTTCGGGAGGATGCACAGGAAAAAACCTACTCCTCCCTTAATTAGCACCTTCCCCTCTATTAGCACCTTCCCACCATCTATCTTTCTTGTTCCAGACTCCTCCCCCTTCCCTTCCTCTTTCCCCATTATCAGAGACAATATAGAAAGTGACACATTCAAAATGAACACAATAATCAAGTAATCAAGGCTATTTCCAATGGTGAATTTCTAGTGAGTGTACGTGTGCTGTGCTTGTGTGTATGTACTTAGGTATGTATCTCTTCCGCCTGCATTCCAAGGATTACAGGTTGAGAAACTTCAACCGTTCCCAGTAATTTTGGTGTTTTATCGCACTTGTGTGTGCCATGAAGGTTCTCTGTACATTTTCTGTCAGCAATTTCACCTGCCTTGAAAGATGCTGTTAGTGTGCAGCAGTATTCCAGCATAGATAGAACAAGTGACCTGAAGAGTTATCATGGGCTTGGCATCCCTCGTTGTGAAAGTTCTCATTATCCATCCTGTCATTTTTCAAGTAGATGCGATTAATGTAATGCTGTGGTCTTTGAAAGTGAGATCCTCTGACATTATTACTCCCAGGTCTTTTACATTAGGTTTTCTCTCTATTGTGTGGTTGGAATTTGTTTTATACTCCGATATAGTTTTAATTTCCTCACGTTTTCCATATCTGAGTAATTGAAATTTCTCATCATTAAACTTCATATTGCTTTTTGCGGCCCAGTAAAAGATTTGGTTGATGTCCGCCTGGAGTCTTGCAGTGTCTTCAATGGAGGACACTGTCATGCAAATTCGGGTGTCATCTGCAAAGGAAGACACGGTGCTGTGGTTTACATCCCTGTCTATGTCAGATATGAAGATAAGGAACAGGATGGGAGCGAGTACTGTGCCTTGTGGAACAGAGCTTTTCACAGTAGCCGCCTTAGACTTCACTCTGCTTACTACTACTACTCTTTGTGTTCCGTTTGTTAGGAAATTATGGATCCATCTACCAACTTTTTGTTATTCCTTTATTACGCATTTTGTGCCCTATTACACCATGGTCATACTTGTCAAAGGCTTTTGCAAAGTCTGTGTTTAGTATATCTGCATTTTGCTTATCTTCTAGAGCATCCAGGACCTTGTCACAGTGGTCCAGTAGTTGGGACAGGCAGGAGCGACCTGCTCTAAACCCATTTTGCCCTGGGTTGTGTAACTGATGGGTATCTAGATGAGTGGCGATCTTGCTTCTTAGAACCCTTTCAAAGATTTTTATGATATGGGATGTTAGGGCTATCAGTCTGTAGTTTTGCTATTGCTTTACTGTCCTCTTTGTGGCATGGGGCTATGTTATGCAGAGCATTTCGGGCAAATTAGGTAAATTTTGTTCTCAGGATGCGACCCATACCAGTCGACTAACACCATATTATAATGATAGGTGACATGGACAGCAGGTGTCTTAAGGAAACACGTCCTAATGTTTCCACCTGTACAGTAGATCAAACCACGGACCTCAATGTGTGAGCATGACTCACGAAATCGTAATGACACAATTGCAAACAAACCATACTACGGGTGGGGTTTGAACCCGCAGTTTGAGTTTTGAGACTGACCGAGGGTTCAAACCCCATCCGTGGCATGGTTTGGTTTCTCAATGTGCGAGCCGAGTGCGCTAGCAATCGAACTATGGGACACCTCTAGTGTCTCTGGACACAGTACTCCCTTGTTCTGCTATAGATGTAAACATCATGCAGTGGAGAGGAGAGAGAAAGTTCAGTCACTAAGCTGACTGGAGATGGAGAGTCTTGATAGTACTGGAGGACTTGGTGGAGAATGATTTGGGAGTTGCGGTGAACCACAATTTTCATAGTTTAGTATAAATAACTGTATTCCCTTGTACATGTGTACATAATGTGCTGCTAAATTGGATACTAAGTGGCATAAAGTGCTCTATCGGAAGGGGGTTCTCTCCCCCTTCCCTCCCAGAACGAGATTTTAGATTTTGCCACTGAAGTGGCTAGTTTATTGTGCACCCCATATCCATCCTGTGGACGGTAGCGCAAGAGCATATGGATACACAAAAGGCCTAGGAACTAGGCCCCCAAAAGGGTTAAGAGGTGTATATATGGGTTTATATCTACATATCTACAGTTCACTTATCTGTTACAAGCAAATTTAAGAAATTTGCTAAGTATATCTGGTATTTTATTTCCATTAATAAGAGAGTGCGCAAGAGCAACTGTTTACATTATGACCTGGTCCAATCTCTGTGTCGACACTTGTATTAATAGCTCTCCTGTCTGAGTAGGTATAAACATGGGTGGTCTGCTACGGTGAACTGTACTTTAGAAGTCAGAGTGGCTGTCATAATGTTGTCAAGGCATATGTGCTTTTAACTCTTGTTGTTTTTAAATACTTAAATCTTTATACTGTATTGTATATGTGTTAATAAAACATAAACAAACAGCCTCAAGGAGAGAAATCAGTTTCGTTCCCCATTAGGCTCTTCTTCACCGAGGATGTGGGTGAAGAATTCTTGATCCGAGCTGGACCTACCCTTCCTTTCCGTGGATCGAAACCAATGCCTCTCATTCCTTTGGCACTGCATGATTCTTAAAGGTTTAGCGCTCCCCCATTAATATAATAATGTGGGTCCCTAACATCGCTGAAGATGGTAAACCAATAGAAAAAACGTACGTATATATATATATATATTATATATATATATATATATATATATAATATATATATAAACTATTAACATTGTCATACATTAAAATGTATGACAATGTGCGGATACCTTTCACCTAACATCAGAATATTTCCAGCAGGTGCTGGAGTTTCTAACACATTAACATCTTGCCCAGGGCATCACTTCCAACATGACTGGTGTGTTCTCTGACCCCCAATGTAGTAGAAAGGTTTTTAACAATAAACCAATCTATTTATCTAGAGCCACAAACGTGTGCCTCTATATATCCTAACTCCATCAATCATGTTGCCCTCTTCCCTCCATAGGAAACCTAAAATATCCTCTCCCACCATACGTATATATAACCACAAATAGGCGGATTATAAAGAGAGGTGTAGGGGGCAATAAGGTGGTCCAGGAAAAACAGTAAACTTTCAAATCTGAACGTGTATCACTCGAGGTTCACAACTAACCCACAAATTGCAAATGACATCTAGAAGACATTTCGGTTCCTCCCGCTAGTGAGGGGCTCTTGATCTAGGGAATTGGATTTGTGCTCCGGTTCCCTGAATTGAGCCTGAATACCTTCCCCCCACAGGCGCTGTACAATCCTACGGGTATAGCGCTCCTGGAGTTTACCTGGAGAGAGTTTCGGGGGTCAACGCCCCCGCGGCCCGGTCTGTGACCAGGCCTCCTGGTGGATCAGCGCCTGATCAACCAGGCTGTTGCTGCTGGCTGCACGCAAACCAACGTACGAGCCACAGCCCGGCTGATCAGGAACTGACTTTAGGTGCTTGTCCAGTGCCAGCTTGACTGCCAGGGGTCTGTTGGTAATCCCCCTTATGTGTGCTGGGAGGCAGTTGAACAGTCTCGGGCCCCTGACACTTATTGTATGGTCTCTTAACGTGCTAGTGACACCCCTGCTTTTCATTGGGGGGATGGTGCATCGTCTGCCAAGTCTTTTGCTTTCGTAGTGAGTGATTTTCGTGTGCAAGTTCGGTACTAGTCCCTCTATAATTTGGTTCCTCCTGAACTATTAGAGTTAATGATGGCCCAGGATGGACCGAAACGTCTAGTTACCATTTCCAGTCTGCTGTTGAACTATGAATGACTGATTAGTTAAACATGAAAAACTCAATAGAACGAGACTTAGCATACAACTGAAGATATTTATTACAATAGCCCTTGTGGTTTAGGGCTTCTTTTTTATTATAATAATAATTTATTACTATTAGTGTAAGGAAACTGCACTAAACCCATATGGGCCATACAGATCTGCTGCTAGCAATGAAATGAAATAGTATTTTATGGAATATTTAAATTTCAAATTTACTCGTATCGCATCACCTCTAGGCTCACTTGCGCATCTGAGATGCGACTCCCTTGGGACAAATGACTCAAAACAAACTAACTAGGGAAGAGATGGAGGGAGGGTAAGTGTAGAGCTGTCGAGGGTTAGACTAAGTAAGTAAGTAAGTTTATTCAGGTATACACAAATACAGTTACATAGCATTATCATACATAGCAGCATATGTGTAGAGAACCTAGGATAACCCAAAAAAGTCAGACAGAGTGACTTATTTCCATTGGGGGGAAAAGTGTTTAGTGATGTTTACTCGGTTAGTGGAGAGAGGGAGGAGGGTACTCACCAGGTTAGGGTTGGTACGGTTGGGTCGGGAAAGGAGGACATCATAAGAAACAAGGTCAGCGGTGTCAAAGCCAGCCTTCATGAATCGATTATGTATCAAATGGGCCAGCTGGTGATCTCTCTCTGTCCCGGCCAGGTGTGGAAACTTGGCCAGCTCCCTGTATCATGTAAAACACTCGTTACTCATGAATGCTGCCTTAACTAGATTATCCTAGAATAAATCTACATTACATATTATTGCTTTATGCATGAAGCATCTAGTACATGACTGATTTCTACTGTAACTTACCGCTAGGCTTTAAATAATAAGATTTACAAGGACCCCAGTGGAAATAAATCACCTTGACTTTTTTTGGGGGCTATCTAAGGTAAGTTATACATTTCTTACTATGTAGAATAATTGTACTTATGTGTACCTGTACTTAAACTTCCTTATACTTTTATATTACTGTCTTATTAGTGTACATTTGACTAGCTAAAGCCTAACACAGGAAACAAGAAATGCCTCTTGTTAACGATCTTATTCATGACGACCCGTGACTAGAGCTTTTTGTGATATCATTGATGATTTTTTCACTTCATACATAGCACTATATCTATCGACCTATGATAGATAAATCCTCTCACTCACGTGGTTGCTACATAATTACTATATCACTCACTACAACAAAATTACTTAAGGATGGGGGATAACTGGAGCCAGGTTGTGATGACTGTAGTCTAGTGGCCGAGGGCAATAATAGTCTTGTTGATGAATAAGACACGTCTTGTTCAACATGTCGGTATTATACCAATAATGTAAGAATAGCCTGGCTGATCCAGCAGTCCTCAGGAAAGTCTAGCCTCAAGTAGGCTGTGAGAACAGAATATACTTCGTAAACCTGACACAGGTTATCTTTGTATACTTACATGAGATTATTTCTGAGATTGTCCGTGTTGACCATATCAATTATTTTGTGGTTAAGATGCTCCTCAGATTCCCACTTGTCTGCCACCAGCTTCTCCATTATGCTGAATATACAATACAAGGCTGGTTAGTGTGTTAGATTGTTAAGATTGTCCGTTTGGTATTGTTTATGTAGAAGTTGAATATTTATTTTCGTGTTTTTACTGTTTGTGATTTTAATAAATTTAACTTTTAGCGCTAATTTGAATCAACAATTAATATATTTCATATATATTTATACATTTATATTTATAATTGCATACATATTTTTCATAAATAGTTAATTATACCATTCAGGCATAGTATTGCCACATTTTTTTTTATTACTATATATTTATAATAATTTATTAATTTCATTATTACACACATGCAATGTTGACTCACATGAACTGCAAAGTCAACCAACTTACAATGATGACTCGCTAGAATCACAACATCCCCAACCAACTTACAATGTCGTCTCCCAAAACTGCAACATTGTCATCCAACATACAAGGTTGTTGCATCATACATCCCACCTCCAAACCTAATAACAGTAACTACCTGACATCCACAACATCTTGAAATCTTGATCCACAGAATTCTTCAACGCTTGCCGAACCTATTGGCTGGGACCTAATTTTAATAGTGGAGTTTGTCCACCAGTGACACCGTCTCCAACTGCTTCGTCTCTCCTGTCTCCAGTATACAAGATCTTTCTCCATACATATATTGTATTTTAATCAAGACTGAGGAATGAAAACATCATCTCCACCCTGAGGGACCGATTACTTCAAGCATCTCATTTTCAAACTCATTTCTTCTGTAGTAGACATGAAGCCTCTGGCTGGCGAAACGTTTACACAATAAACTTTCACAACTTGTTGGTTTCTAAATAATTTGTATAATACACTACATATCGCCAGAGGTGTAGTTGAATAACATTTGCAACACACGAAACGTTTGCTAATCTCAAAACTGCCTTCAGACACCTTAACAAAAATACTTTAAGGACTCTGCAGACATATATTTCAGTCGTATCATAAACATTGCAACACCAGCGTGAAGCCCCACTTGGTCAAGCATATACAGAAATTCGAGAATTTTCAGAAGGGAACCCCTCCAGGAAGGTTCCTTGATGTTGGTGAGGGGCTCTTGATTTAGGGAATTGGATCTGTGCTCCAGTTCCCCGAATTAAGCCTGAATGCCTTCCACATCCCCCCCCCCAGGCGCTGTATAATCCTCCGGGTTTAGAGCTTCCCCCTTGATTATAATAATAATTCAGAAGGGACCGATATATGAAGAAGACATTATGATGTACAGAGCAGATACGAACAGACCGTTTGAAATGTGAGACATGGGGGGGGGGGGAAGTGGTATAGATGAAAGCTAAAGACATGAGCCACAGGGATGTTATGAAAGATATTTAGTAATAAAGGCGATTGGTACAATTTAAGACACCTCGCGCACGCACTGTATATTTAAATAAATAAATTATATATATAATATATATATATAAATATATATATATATATATAATATATATTTATATATATATATATATATATTTATATATATATATGTCGTGCCGAATAGGCAGAACTTGCGATCTTGGCTTAAATAGCAACGTTCATCTTGCCATATAGGACAAGTGAAAATTTGTGTATGCAATAATTTCGCCAAAATCATTCTGAACCTAACGAAAAAAATATATTTCACTGTGTTTTATTTAGTATTAAATTACTGTAAACAAATCTAAAATATATTTAGTTGGGTTAGGCTAAAATAAATTGGTCTTGTTATAATAAGGTTAGGTAAGTTTTCTAAGATACTTTTGGAGCAAAATTAAATTTTTTTACATTAACATTAATGAAAGAATATATGTTTAAACGTATAAGAGAAAATTTTAAAAAGGACTTAATTTTAAATGAATTTTTGCTAATTGACCAGTTTTATATATTCGGCACGACAACCCTGAGGAAGACCCCATCACTGAACAATTAATTCTGCCAGAATCGGATCGAAAGTAACCATTCTTACAGAATTCATTACCTTTGTAACTTGTGAGCTCATTACCTTTGTACCTAGTTCAGCTATCAAAACTTTGGGGGCCCAGTCCCTGGACCCATTACGTACCTCTGTAATCTGTAAATACCTTTGTAACTTGTCATGATTGTGACCAGACCTACCTGGAGTTCATTACCTTTGTAAATTGTGAGTTCATTACCTTTGTAAATTGTGAGTTCATTACCTTTGTAAATTGTGAGTTCATTACCTCTGTAACTTGCTCAGCTATCAAAACTTAGGAGTCCAGTCCCTGGACCAATTATGTACCTCTGTAATCTTTTGACTACCGCCCACAGGATGGGTATGGGGTGCATAATAAACATATTAAACTAACTAACTAACCAGAATCGGAAGTCTATAAGGCGATCGTGTCATTTCCAGCAGGATCTGCAGGAGGTTACACTGGAATTCGACCTCAGCACCTCAAAGAGATGGTAAATCCAGTACTCGGTGAATCTGCATCAATTCTTCTCACCGAGTTAACAACTTTCGTCAACAATTGCCTGGCTGGGCGAATCCCAGAAGAAATTAAACCTTTCTTTTTTGGAGCCTCACTATGTGCTTTGAAGAAGAGGGATGGGGAAATCAGACCCATTGCAGTTGGAAATAAGTCACTCTGTCTGACTTTTTTGGGTTATCCTAGGTTCTCTACACATATGCTGCTATGTATGATAATTCTATGTAACTATATTTGTGCATACCTGAATAAACTTACTTACTTACTTAGCAGCAGTGAGAAACATTCGCCTAGAAGCTGCCACTTTACTCCAGCCACACCAACTGGGCTTTGGGGTCTCTCAAGGCGGTGAAGCCGCAGCTCATGCCGCAAGGGCCTACATCAGGGACCTACCAGAAGACAAGGCCATAGTCAAACTTAATTTTAGAAATGCCTTTAATATGGTGAAGAGAGATGCTGTTTTGCCAGCTGTTCGGGATCGGTACCCCAGTCTTTTTTCCTTCATTTCAGCCGGCTACAGCAAACCCTCAATTCTTTTGTTTGGAGAACATGAAATTCAATCATCAGAGGGTGTTCGGGTGT